AGGTGTGAGCTCACCTGGACAGGTAAGGGACAGGTGTGGGTCAGGTGTGTTACCTGGGACAGGTGTGGACAGGTGTGAGCTCACCTGGACAGGTGTGCACAGATAAGGGACAGGGGTGGGACAGGTGTGAGCTCACCTGGACAGGTAAGGGACAGGTGTGGGTCAGGTGTGTTACCTGGGACAGGTGTGTCAGTGTGGAGATGTTCCTGCTGCTGGTGACGCTCAAGGTGAGCTCACCTGGACAGGTGTGCACAGGTAAGGGGCAGGTGTGTTACCTGGTACAGGTGTGGGACAGGTGTGAGCTCACCTGGACAGGTGAGACTGGTAAGGGATAGGGGTGGGACAGGTGTGAGCTCACCTGGACAGGTGTGCACAGGTAAGAGACAGGTGTGTTACCTCAGACTGGTGTGGGACAGGTGTGAGTTCACCTGGACAGGTAAGGGACAGGTGTGGGACAGGTGTGTTACCTGGGACAGGTGTGTCAGTGTGGAGATGTTCCTGTTGCTGCTGGCCCTAAAGGTGAGCTCACCTGGACAGGTGAGACAGGTAAGGGACAGGTAAGGGACAGGTGTGAGCTCACCTGGACAGGTGTGGGACAGGTGTGAGCTCACCTGGACAGGTGTGCACAGGTAAGGGACAGGTGTGTTACCTGGGACAGGTGTGGGACAGGTGTGAGTTCACCTGGACAGGTGAGACAGGTGTGGGACAGGTGTGCCACCTGGGACAGGTGTGAGCTCACCTGGACAGGTAAGGGACAGGTAAGAGCTCACCTGGATAGGTGAGACAGGTAAGGGACAGGTGTAGGACAGGTGTGAGCTCACCTGGGTAGGTGTGCACAGGTGTGGGTCAGGTGTGTTACCTGGGACAGGTGTGTCAGTGTGGAGATGTTCCTGCTGCTGGTGATGCTCAAGGTGAGCTCACCTGGACAGGTGTGTACAGGTAAGGGACAGGTGTGTTACCTGGTACAGGTGTGGGACAGGTGTGAGCTCACCTGGACAGGTGGGACAGGTAAGGGACAGGGGTGGGACAGGTGTGTTACCTGGGACAGGTGTGCACAGGTGTGAGCTCACCTGGACAGGTGGGACAGGTGTATTACCTGAGACAGGTGTGTCAGTGTGGAGACGTTTCTGTTGCTGCTGGCCCTAAAGGTGAGCTCACCTGGACAGGTAAGGGACAGGTGTGGGACAGGTGTGTTACCTGAGACAGGTGTGAGCTCACCTGGACAGGTAAGGGACAGGTGTGGGACAGGTGTGTTACCTGAGACAGGTGTGGGACAGGTGAGAGCTCACCTGGACAGGTGAGACAGGTAAGGGACAGGGGTGGGACAGGTGTGACTTCACCTGGACAGGTGGGACAGGTAAGGGACAGGTAAGGGACGGGTAGGACAGGTGTGAGCTCACCTGGACAGGTGAGACAGGTAAGGGACAGGTGTGGGTCAGGTGCGTTACCTGGGACAGGTGTGTCAGTGTGGAGATGTTCCTGCTGCTGGTGATGCTCAAGGTGAGCTCACCTGGACAGGTGTGCACAGGTAAGGGACAGGTGTGTTACCTGGTACAGGTGTGAGCTCACCTGGACAGGTAAGGGACAGGTGTGTTACCTGGGACAGGTGTGGACAGGTGTGACCTCACCTAGACAGGTGTGCACAGGTAAGGAGCAGGTGTGTTACCTGGTACAGGTGTGGGACAGGTGTGAGTTCACCTGGACAGGTGAGACTGGTAAGGGATAGGGGTGGGACAGGTGTGAGCTCACCTGGACAGGTAAGGGACAGGTAAGGGACAGGTGTGTCACCTGGGACAGGTGTGTCAGTGTGGAGATGTTCCTGCTGCTGCTGGCCCTAAAGGTGAGCTCACCTGGACAGGTGAGACAGGTAAGGGACAGGTGT